AAAAAAAGGGGGCGGGGGGGGGGGGAAGAGAGACGTCGATAAAAAAAAAAAAAAAAAAAAAACCAACCCACCCTCGCGCTGGTGACCTCTCCAGGTCTTTTTTTCCAGCCTGCAATTAAATGCAAAGAAAAAAAAACAAAAAACAAAAAACCCACCCCAGGAGGAGTTATATGTGCGGGTTGCACACACACGCACACGCATGCACACGGGGACACGCGTGCGCGCGCAGGGAGCCGCTGGCCGGCTTTCAAGCCCTGTATCTATGCATCCGAGACACGTTGCAGGCGAAGACTCCTCCAATCATGCCTCGGCGACTCGAAAAGCCCTGGCCGGGCTCCAGCCTGAAGATGTGTCTTTAATTTTTGCAGCATGACAGAAAAGAAAAGAATGTCATCGGGGTTTTTTTTTTTTTTTTTTATATGCATGGAGAGGGAGGAAAAAAAAGGGGGGGGGAACGGGACGATGCCCCCTCATCAGCCCCCGGCCGCCCGCCCCAGGAATGCAGGAGGGTTCGGTGCAGGGGTTGGGGGCTGGGAGGGGAAAGGGAAGAAATCCCGCTTTTTAAAAAAAAAATAATAAATAATAAGAGTTTAAAAAAAAAAAAAAGCCTGGAAAAGTCATTAGGATCCTAGGAAGCGGAATGAGAGACGCCAAGCGTAGGCCTGGGCCGGCTCCTGCGGGTGTGGGATGCCCGGGATGCTGGGTCCTGCCCGGGGTGGCGGTACCCGATTGGGACCGTCCCGCTCCTCGGGGACACTGGGACAGGGGGGTTGTCACCTGCGGCCACCTCCTGCCAGCCCCATCCTTTGGGGGGCTCTGAGACCCTTTCCTGCACACCCCGGACTGGTTTCACTGGTGCAGACTGGACCTGCAGTTGGCGGTCTGGGAACGGAGGCGGCTGCCCCAAAAACTCGGTGTTCACCCCAAAAACTCAGTAGTCACCCCAAAAAGTTGGTGGATGCCCCCAAAAGTCGGTGACCGCATCCAGGGCATGGGTTGCCCCATGGATGGGGGGGGTGAGGACAGAGGAGGGCAGCCATCCCCCCCGGCTGTCCCCATCCCCTTTGGGTAGGACCTACTGAAAAACAGAGCTGATGGGGCCGGGGGCTGGGGGGGAGGAGGGCGCTGGGGTTTGTTTGCCTGCGCCGAGAGGAGCTGGAGCAGACGCCGGCATCTGGTGTGAGTTAACTCCCCTCGACAGCGCAGACACATGGATCGGATTAACTCCCTTTTTTCTTCGCCCCCCCTTCCCCGTTCCGCACTATGGTGGCAGCTGGTGTCCTGCAAGGGTGACACGCAGGTGTTTGACCCCACGGAGGGCTTTGACCCCATAGCAGGGGCTCACCCCACCGACATCCGCACCGCAGCAGCCCCCCAGCTCCCAAGGGACTCAGGCATCCCCAGAATCCCCAAACCTGGCTGGGACCCCCACACCGAAAAGCCCCTTAGGGGGCATTTCCCCATCACCCCACCCCGCTCGAACCCAAAACACCTCACTCCCCCTTTCTCATCCCCCGCCGTGGGGACGTGGTGGGAACTCGGTGCCTCAGTTTCCCCCGGCCTGGCCGCAGCCCGCAGCCCGGCACCGCCCCGGCTATTCCTGGTGGCCATCCGGCCCTCGGCACCCTCAATTGTGGCAGGCAGGGCAAAACCCCGTAATCACGGGCAGCGGCTCCCCTGGCTATTTCCAGCCGCTCAAAGCAGGCAGGGCAATTGCTTAATTGGCCTTTGGGCTGCCAGTGCCACGCTGCTGCTCGGCGGGGGCACCGGCTGCCAGGGAGGGTCCTGAAATAGGATGCTCGTGTCCCCACGGGGGTGGCACGGGGACCCCCAGATTGAAGGGCGGGGGACACACAGGTGACAACCTCGTCTTGCTCAGCAGCAGGGTGGGCCTTCCACCTGGGATGGGTCCAGGGGGATTGGGATGTTGGCTTTGCCCCCTTCCAGGGCTGGGTGCCTCCGGGGGAGGAGGGGGTCATCCCCCCGTCTGCACCCCCACATCCCAGGGCTGGGGTCCGGAGCGGAGTTGGGGATGGAGGGGGGCAACCCCCGGGGGCTGG